ATAATATATTCTATAACATATAAAAATCAATTCTGATCTAGTCATATAATTATATCCATGAGTTTTAACATTCAAAGTCAATGCATCAAGGATATTGACATCACTTAAAGATAATGAAAAATTTGGATAGACATTAAAATAAACTGGGCCATGTGCCGAGCTAGATTATATTATTCCCATTAATGATTGTTTCCAATTTAAATTTCTAGCATCTCGTAAACAAGTTATAAAGTTTTCTGGTAATCCTTCTAAAGTTAATGGTTTAAAAGCAATCTATATCAGACCAATATGAATAAATTTATACAATTGAAAATATCTATTAATATCATCTTTTTTAAAAATAAATATTGAGGTCAAGGCGACTTTCAGGTTCCAACTGATTCAAAAAAACTCAAGGGGTCTACCCAGGAGGTAAATTTTTGAATCAGCCAGTGCCAGCTAGTACAATGCCCAAGGGGTCTACCAGGAGATAAACATTTTTACTAGCTAGTTCCCTAGTTTCATCCCTTGCTTTTTATTATTAATAAAATAACAAAAGCTTATGGCAGAGCATGTATCATACCATAGTACATCATGTGGCCTTACTACGAATATAAGGGAAAGAAGATTAATTTAAGACCAATAATCCCTTGACATATCTAGGTAAAGAAGCTAACCAAAAATACATTTCCAAATTACCAGAAGAGGCATTTTTGGCTAACTTATCAGCTACAAAGTTTGCTTCCCTAAAAACATGAGAAACTATATACCCATTTCTGAGTATAATAGAAAGCATTTCCTGAAAAAGAAAATGGAATCTCCAAGGGAAAGCCGAAGGATGGTTCAATGCCCAAGCCAAGCTCTGATTATTAGTTCATAAATAAACATTAGAAAGATTCATCATTTCACACTTTCGCAATCCGAAGAGAGCCCCCGCTATCTCTGCCATATAGCTATTACCACCACTAAGGTAACCACTTTCACCGTAAATAAAAGTACCTTTCTTTCCTCGAATGACAAAACCATATCCTGCTTCCCCTAAAGCAGATGAACCATCCGTATTTAGGACATAAGAATTAGAAGGAGGAGGAATCCACCTAACCTCTTTAACTAGAGGCCGCGGCTTCTACTTCAAAGTAGCCCCAAAAAATTCCTCAAAAAAAGACTTCTCCGCCAAGGTTGCCACTTTCAAGTCATGTACTCTAAAAAGATCACCAACATGGGTCTTAATTTCAAAAATCAGGTTTGATGTCTCTATGATGCTGCCTTCAAAAATCACTTTGTTGCGTGCCTTCCACGTCTCCCATATAATAATTGTAGGCATAAGAATGTGAAACACTCCATAGGCCGACAAATGATCCCCTCTCCGCCACCAACTCTGAATCATTGAGGCCAAGGAGGAGCCCCCTTTGATACACATCATTCCATCAAGAAAAGACCATACATTCATTATCTTGTGACAACCAAAGAAAACATGCTCTATATTTTCGGATTGCACCTTGCAAAAAGGGCAAATTGAAGGTAAGATTTGCAACCCCATTCTACTAAGAATTTTTGGAAAAGGCAATAATTTATTATGTAATTTCCAAATGAAGAAAGAAATCCTTAAAGGAACCTGTTTAGCCCACACAAAGCTCAGCTCCTTCACCTCTACGCGCCTCCTCCTTGTAACCTCATAAGCCGACTTGACTGAGAAATCCCCTTTATTGTTAGGCTGTCAAACGAGGACATCATCTCCTTCACAGAAATCCTGCTCAAAACTTTCAAGAAAGTCACAAACATGGTTAGCAAAAACATTCTGAAATTGCAACAAGTATTGTTGTTTATTTTCAAAGAATTCCCGAATAGTGAGCTCGGGACAAGGGGGCTGTTGATGATCCAAATCCCATATCACTCCAAAGTCCACCCAATTGTCAAACCAGAAAGAACTTTTCCCTCTATGTATTATAATTTCTGAATGCGTAGAAGCCCTTCTATGGACTTTCTATATGCGTAGCCAAGAGGTTTTTTTCTTTGCAGTGAAAGACAACGATGTAATAAATTTACTCCAAAGCCCTCTTCTAATCCTGAGCTTCCACCATTATGTAATCATTAAAGCATCAATCATTCTTTGAAAATCTCGAATTCCCAATCCATTTTTAGAAGTGGGATATGTAAGGTTTTCCCAAGATCTCCAGTGGCGCCTGTTTGCATCTTGAGTTCCATTCCACAAAAACTCTTGGCATTTCCTTTCCATTTTACGTATTATTGATCTAGGTGGAGGAATAGCTGAAAAAACGTGTATTGGAATAGAGGACAACGCATGTTTAATCAGAATTAGACGGCCTCCTGTACTTAGCAAACGGCTTTTCCAACTAAGGAGCTTTGCATCAATGGCATCCAACAGAAATTGGAATGTTTCCGCCTTGCGCCTTCCATGGAACAATCAACATCCTATGTAGACAAAAGGTAAAGAGTGTTTTTGAATACCTAGAGTGCAATTGATAATGCCAACCCTTCTACCATTACAACTTTCAGCCACCATGAATAAGCTTTTTTGTCTATTAACCTTCTGCCTCGAAGCCCTCTCATACAAAGAAAGAAAATTATTAATCTCAGAAAGAGACTTTTTCAGCCCTCTTGTGAAGATAATTAGGTCGTCCGCAAAAGCCAAATGCGACACTGCAAGAGACCTACTAGGAGTTCCATAAGCTGCAATTGCTCCATCCCTCACCAAACTTTTCAAAGTTCTTGTCATAGTTTCAGAAACTATAATGAACAGGTATGGCGACAATGGATCACCCTGTTTGATATCCCGTGAAGATTGGAAAAATCCAACAGGACCATCGTTGATGAGAACCGAAAACCAGCTATTTCTAAGGTTATTCATGATCATCAACACAAATCCTTGCGAAAAACCAAATTTGAGCAAGACTTTCTCAAGAAAATTCCATTTAACTCGGTCAAAGGCCTTCATCGTATCCAATTTCAAAACCATGTTATTACCAGCCACTTTACGACCAAGAAATTGACATAGATCCTGAGCAAGCATTACGTTATCCAATATATCTCTTCCCTCCAGAAAAGCCGATTGCTCCTCAGAAATAAGTTTAGGCAACACTACTTTCAATCTCTCCGTTAGTACTTTAGTGAAAACTTTATTCAAAAAGTTACATAGACTTATTGGTCTGTAATCAGAAAAGTACTAACCGATGTTTTCTTTGGAATGAGAGAAATCAAGGTACTTGCAACTGCTCTTGGCAATGGAACTCCCGCAAAGAATTATTGGCAAGCACACCACAGATCTTGAGAAATAATCTCCCAGCAACCTCTATAAAAGCTCCCTCCAAATCCATCTACACCCGGAGCCGCATCATCATCCAAGGTAAAAACAGCAGCCTTTACTTCCTCCAAAGAAATGGGACTCATCAAAAAAGTACAATCATCAACCTCAATCAAAGGTGGAATGTGCGAAATCAAGGCCAGCTACACATCTTCTATTTGAACATCCAAATTATCATCTTGCAAAAGCTCTTTATAAAATCTGACCGCCTCTTGCTCAATCTCGGGCATATTTGTAAGTGTTGCACCATCAGCGGTTTGAATTTTGAAAAGATTTTGCCTCAGTCTTCTTTCTTTCAATGAGGCATGGAAGTAAGCCGTATTCGCATCCCCTTCTTTCATCCATTTAATCTGCATTTTTTTAGCCCAATAATCATCATGTTCCTTTAACTTGAGAAGATAAAATGCTTTCGCCGCATTCAAAAGAGACCTATCTTGTTTAAGACTGGTCATATCATATAAACTTTCCAACTGTTGAACATTTGCCTCCGCCGATTTAAGGTTTTCAAAAACATCGCCAAAAACTCCCTTATTCCATTCTCGAAGCTTAACCTTGAACCGGCGTAGCTTCAACGAAAAACCATGCATCCCATAATAACCTAAAGGCTGGTCCCAGCATTCCTTTACCACGGCGTTGAAGTCACTTCGACGCAACCACATCTTTTTAAAGCGAAAAACCTTAGGTTTACTCGCAATTTGATGACCAAAAAGATGCAAGATTGGGCCATGGTCTGATGTAGTACAATTCAGGTTCTCTACTGAGGAAACGGGAAAGATCTCATTCCATTCTTTTGTGAAGAGAACACGGTCAAGTTTCTAAGCAAACCAGCCAGTACTTCGAGTTCCTCCCCAATTGAAGTCTTCTCCTACAGCCAACAATTCCATCAAACCGCAGTCCTCGATACAAGTATTGAAATCAGTCATCGCAACCTTATCTTGGACAGAGACTCCCGAGTATTCTTCCAAAGTATGGATCACATTGAAATCCCCCCTATCATCAAGGCCGATGTCAAGTGGAGATGCCAAAATGTAATCATATTCTGCCATAAAGCTTGACGAGTGAGTCTAGTAGAACCTGCATACACCGCAGAGAAGAAAAAAATATGTGGAACTGAAACATGTGAAGCCTCGAAGTGTAAAACTTGAGCATGAGATTCAAGTAGCGTAGCTGTAACCTTGTTTGAGCAAAAGACCCAAATTTTGCTGTTATCTGAAGAGAAGGCCGAATGAAACCCTAAAAGGCGTCGGATTTCCTCCAAATTATTCACCGCCAACATGGGTTCCATGATCATAAGAATGGAAACCTTATTAATTTTTAGCAGAGCTTGCAAACGACGTTGCGAGGCTTGATTTCTAATACCACGAACATTCCATATAAGTTGTCCAATCATTGGAAATTATTGGATAAAAAAGAGAAGGACACTGATTTAATGCAACCGTGGTGACCTTCTCAAGGCCACTCCTGCATGTAATTCGGCTAGCTCAGCCTTCGTTTTTTGTCCATGTTTCTTAGGTAACGAGACAAACCCTTGTGCTGTCACTCGCTCTTGGTCCTCATAAACGTCCATATCCCCTTCAGACCAGCTTTCCTGCTCAACAATTATTGTTTCACCAATCTCAGAATTTTTCCCAATCACACCATCATCAGCAAAATCACTGACCAGGAGAACTGTATCATTATCCAATGCAGACAGCTCTTTCTAGAAAGCTTCCAATGTAGATAGTTCCGGCCCCAAATCCACGGATCCTTCTTGCTGCGGTGGAAGTGACGTATCATTCTGTCTATTTTCAGAATTTTCAGTAGGCTCTGAGTCTTCCAAACCATCCTCCACTGTCACATCTTCAACAATCTCACCTTCTTCCTCTTGAATTGTATCGAGAACAGCAAACTTATTTGCCGACATCGCTACCACTAGATTCAGCAAGTCGCAAGGCTGATCATCACTGGAATACTCCGTATTCTTCTTGATACCCGTTTCTTTTTGCTTCGGCGGAGAGCTCTCAATATCCACCACAATTGTGTCCTTCTCTTTTTGTGTTAAGCCAGAAGAAGACGGCATTTCAGATGGCACATTAATCGACTCTGGGCTAGGGTTTGCAGAAACCCTAGGCTGCGGCTTTCATACCGGCTGCACCTTCTTGGCTTTTCTCTTCTCAATCAATTGCCTTGCATCCGCAAACTTCTTAACGTCATGTTCTAAACTCTGACCAATCTTCTGCTTACATACAGTGCCATTATGACCAATTTTCTGGCAATGGTCACAATAAGAAGGAATGAATTCGTATGTGAATGCTTGCTCATATTTCTTGCCTTTCTTCCCAATTTTAATAGAAGCTGGAAATTCTTTTTTTTCCCATTAAATCCACTTCCTCACAGAAGCGGGCGACTGAAGGCCTTGTGAGGTTCAGAGTCGGCGTATCCACCTGCAAGTGCTTGCCAATGGTGGTCGCGACTGAGAACAAGATCTGCGGGTTAAGAAACTCAATCGGCAGCTCGTGTAAAGCCACCCAAATTGGAATGACAGGGGGGTCCTCTTCAAATCGAAAATCGGGTTGACATTTGAGAATACGCATTGCATAGCCCTTTATATTCCACATTGTTTGAATCCAACAACGTTGAAAGTCTTCTTCCCTTTCAAACCGTATGAGAATGTGTCTAGGGTTCATGAGACCAATATGAAAGTCTCCCTGAAACCCTACCTTCTCCAATTCGCTTCTTACTTCTTCCATTTTGGGCCTACCGTAAGAAAATTTTCCCACCAAATCCCATCGATGAGGGGCGATGAGTTTTTCATACTCGTCATCTTCCAACTCCAAAATCGGCGCTCCATTGACATACGTTACTATCTTATACTGTTTGTTGCCCGCGAACTTGGATTCCCCAGGTTGTTTGAAGAAACTTGCGAAGCTTCGGGGCGGACCAGTGGGGTTTGCCACAGAATGGCCGCCGGCCATTAATACCGGCGGGTATGGTCTACAGTGTTGCGTGAGAGAAGAGGAGAGAAGACCTAATCAGGGCTCAAGTTATCTATTAATATCATCTGATTGCAATAATTTGATCTCTATTTCCTCATTATCTAAAGAAACAGATTCTTCAGTTGTTTTAACAACTTGGTTCAAATCTCATTTTTCAAAAGTACCTAACTGATATACAGTTTTCAATTCATTCTTTGGAATTGTCCATTTATTAAGTTCTTCTAAATTTTCAGGAATATCATATTCTTGTTTAAGACTATTTTTAACAGTCTTCTTATTTTTTTTGAATTTCAAAAGTGGTTGTTGGGATAAGATTCAGTAGTTACAAGTCTACTTAGGACAAATACAGTTAAAAATATTTTATTTTGTGAGGCAAATAAAGGTTATAGTTATGAACAAATATAAGAACTCAAATCGGATGAATGCGAATGTTCTACCGGATAGATAACCATATTCAACAAGATATATAATTTTCTTATATAGGATGAATAACAACGTTAAACATAATGAATAACTACAATTTGCAAGATGAATAACTATTTTTAACTGGATAAATAATTATATTATGCACGATGAATAACCATGTTCAATTAGATTCAAAAAATTACATTATGCAAAATGAACAATTTTATTCAACATAATGAAATAAAAAATAATATTATGCAGGATGAATGGTCATCTTAATGTGATGAATAATTACATAATAGAGGATGACTAATCATATTCAACGGATAAATAAATTTTTTATGTATAATGAATAACCACTTTCAATTGTATGAACAAATACATTGTACGAGATGAATAAACACTTCAATGAGATTAATAACTACATTGTGCAGGGAGGATGAGTGACTACGTTCAATCCGAGCATAACTATATTCTGTAGGATGAATACTTACGTTCAACTGGACGAATAACTATATTATGGATGATGCATCTTGCAGGCTGAATAACTATAATATGGATGATACTTTAAACGGTGAATAAGAATAAAAAACACACTGATTTAATTGAAGTAACGTACAACATGAATAACATATCAACATGCATAACCAGGTATCGATCCATGAATTAGGACATTATAATGACAATCAACCATTATAATCATATCTACAAAACCATGAATCAAATGGATGAATAATAGGATTTAAATAGCTGAACAATCAACCTGAATTAATTAACATTCATCAGATCTATAGAAAAATATGACATAACATGATTTAAAAAGATTAAAAATCATTACCTCCGACGAATATGAAGGTTTACTGTAGATTTATTCAGTCCAGTTTTGATTTTTTTCTCTTCCTACATTAATATCACAAACAAACATGAATTGGCATCTATGGTCTGAAATATTTCATAAATAAACATAAAAAACCGGAGAAAAGAAAATCATACTGTATTCTTTATTTCCAGTGGATTTTAACACCTCTCAAACCTTCTAAGACTGGATTTGTATTCTTAAATTCTTCGAGCAAGTTCCTTTCAGTGTTTCGACGTAGAGAGAATTGATTCAAGATGAAGATATGAATGTAATTGTGGTTGCCGATAAAGTTGTGGGGGTGGATAATGCCGGGTGAAGTGGCAGTTTTGGAGGATTGAAAATGGCGAAGAAAAAGCGATGAAGATGTGCTGATTTTTATGGGCGCGTGTATTTTACTCAAATGGTTGTCTCGTAAATAATGGTAAATTCCATATTTTTGGGAGCGTGGCTTTCATAAGGTGTACCTAGGTGTTCTATATTATAATTGGTGTTCGACCATGTCTCATCGTGTCTCTCTCTCCCCTCTCAATAATTTGTAACATATCTTTGAATCTCAATTCATTATCTTTCAGGGATTAATAAAAATAGCAATTATTCATTATGCCTTGAACTTTCTTGTCTTCTTCACCATTTTGTTTTGTTATTTTTTTTTTTTTTTGTCGGGGGTTAAACTTCTTGACCATGTTGAAAGGACATATATAATTCTGACAAAAATTATATTTTAAACAGGTTAAAGTAAGTTGTATATGAATAGGTCAGTTAGGTTAAAACAGAACAATGATCACCTTACACAGAATATTAATATTTTTATAGTATGATAATGCCAAAAATACTCTAATTCCAAATAAGATATTTACTTTTGCACAATGGCGGAATTAGGAATTACAGTGGTAAAAATAAACAAAAATATTTTACAAGAGTAAAAATAAAAATTTTCAAAATTTATAATACTTCCTTTGTAAATTCATGATAACAGGGGGCGACTGCCCTTACTAGTCCTTCTCCTTCCGCCATTAATTTTGCATTTAGATTAGTTGAAAAAGTGATTTTTCGTCTACCAATATCTACAAAACAATAGTGCTTAAAGTAGAATGTCACGCTTTGATTGGAAAATATTTTCTGTCAAGCTAGCTAGGTATCCCGTCCATTTCGATAAATCACTAATATGTAGGTACACAGTTTCATACCTCAATAATGACGTAACAGTTCATAGATGCAGAATCGCAGATTATTTTCTGAAACTAGCTAGCTAACTACTCACAAGAAAAAGTTCAAAATTCACATATTCTCGACAGTTCAAGGGACCAACCTTTTACTTATATTTTTGGAATATTCTCATCAAAGTATAAACAGTCCTCTAGTCTAAAATAACAGAGTGCTACTCTTCGCAGTTCAGAATTTATTCACTGACAGTTCGTTTTGGTCAATGAGAGGTTGCCGCGGTGGGGCGGCCTTACACCCCTCACCCGCATGACGCGGATTCGACACCCAGGCAGGGAAAATAGGGGCTCATTTGAGCCGTGTATCAAAAAAAAAAAAAAAAAAAAAACTTACAGTTCGTTTTGGACGATTTTGCCCCTGAACTCTTTCTCTTCCTCATTTCTTCTTCTTCTTTCTATTTTCCTCCTTCTCCAACTTCATCTTCTTCTTCCTTTTTATCACATTTTAAATCCAGATCTTCTACAAACTGAAGTTTAAAAAAATAGCAGAACAAGACACACAACAACGAGAAGGAGCACCTTCGATGCCGATAATTTTTTTTTCTTTTACCAAATTCTATTTAAAAAAAAATTTGAAAAAAAAAGGATTGCCTAGCCAACCTGACCTCTGGCCAGCCCAGGAACCTTGGCCGTATTTCTCACCGGCCAAGGGTGAAGGATTGGCCTAGTTAGGGATCGACCAATCCTTGACCAAGCCAATCCTTCACCCTTGGCCAATGAGAAATACGGCCAAGGTTCCCGAGCTGGCCGGCGGTCGGGTCGGCCAGCATGGGTAGTTATCCTTTTTTTTTCAAATTTTTTTGTGGTTTTTTTTAATTTTTTTGTTGTAATTTTTTTATAATTAATTTAATTAAATTTATTTATAATTAATGTAATTAGTTGTTGTATTACTGTTTGATTAATTTAGTTAAATTTATTTATAATTAATGTAATAAGTTTTTGAATGTTGTGTTATTATTTTTTATATGTCATTTAGTTTTTTTTTTTGTGCTTTAATAACATGTGTAATTTAATTTATTATGTATAATTTGTTTAATTTAATAATTAGTGTAGATTAGATATGTGGTATATATTTGTATATGGTATTTAGTTAGTATTAATTTATAGGCTTTAATAATTATTGTTTACGTAAATGAATTAGTTATTTTGTTATGTATACTGTATTTTTTTAAATTTGATATATTTCATTTACAGAATTGTGGTGGTGACGATGTTGATTATAGTCATCATTTCAATGTTTACATAAGATTCGCAACTATTGAAGCCGCTGTGGAATGTGCAAAAAAAACTGCGATATCTCTTAATTTCACAGTGGTTAAGGCGGCAAAGACATATGAGACTAAGAAATTATTATGATGTCCAGAGGGTGTTCTGCCTAGAGATACAGAGAATCAGGTGCAAAAAACAAAGACGCAATATTGTGGATGCCCATTCTAGCTTCTAGCCCAAATTCCCCCAGGCAAATCTACTTTTGGGATTCGTTCATGCCCCGGTCGTAAATGTACCCATAACCACCTGTTTGGCAGTTTCGAGGAGGGACAGATGCAGATGAGCGGTCTTAGTGATAAATTAAAGGAGATTATTGACAATTTGGCTACCATTAATGTAAAACCGTTTGCAATGCTGCGGGCGATTCACCATGCATGTCCGGACGAGCACATTGTGATCAAACAGATATACAACTACAAGGATAGGATGCAAGTGGAAAAGAAGAAGGGTAAAACGTTGGTGGATCACTTCTTTGACATTACTCAGAAACACAAGTACGTGATTACTACAGCTGATGAAAAAGGTGTGTTGAGTCATATTTTCTGTGCACATCTAGTATCTGTAGAGTTGATCCGAACATACCCGTGGTATATTGGCATGGATACTACTTATAGAACAAATAGGTATAATATGCTGCTGTTACAAATTATTGGGATGACTCCAACCAAAAAGAATTTCTAATTGGATACGTAACTATAACGGATGAGAAGAAGGGTAGTTATACTTGGGCATGTCAGCAGCTTCGGAATATGATTGGATGGGAGGTGCATCCGTATGCCATAGTGACAGATAGGGAGTTAGGGCTGGCAGAACCAATTAGTTTGATATTTCCAGATTCTGCACATCTTCTGTGCGTGTGGCACATCAATAAATGTGTTTTTGAAAAAGCACGGTGGCATTTTAGAAAGGAATTCACGGAGTGGTGAAAGAAGGAGATGTTCGATCCGATACTTGAAGCTCCTACTGAGTACTTTCATGAAATGGCTGTGATTAATATGTCGTACTACAGGCACCCAAAGGCGAAAAGTTATGAAGAGTTGGTGCATTATGTCAAGACCACTTGGCTAGTTCACAAGGAGAAGTGGGCTCGTGCGTAGACAAATGGAGTGACACATCTTGGAAACACAAGTAATTATAGGGTGGAGAGCACCCATAGTTCCATGAAGAGATTTCTTGACTCGGCGACCAGTCACCTAGTTACATTGTGGACATGAATCCACGCTGCG